ATCTGACCCAAACTAGATGCATAAATTTGCACGCTTTATCCCCCCCCCCTCCCCCGACAGCCCATATTCTGTTGGATAACTTCCTCCCACCACCTTACCCTGTTAAAGTTGTCAAACAGAGCCCAAATCTTTATGCGTTTTGCATTAAAAGGAGCAGAAACAAGCTGATTGGACGCCAGAGCTTCACCGATGGCGTCACATTTATTTATTTTTTACACGAGGAGACAGGCAGAATGCTCAGGTGGACATCATGGGAGAAAAAGACCCGGGTCCTCTTTACCAGGCCAGGCCCCAAAGGGGGGGGGGAGGAAGGAAACCCCAGGCAAAGGAAGACCCGGGAAGGATTGAGAAGTTCGAAAAACGAGGTGAAGCCGAGCAGAAGAGAAGGTCAAGGAGAAGGAGAGCGCTGGAGGGAATGATGATATGCAAAGAAGAAGAAAAGGGGAAGCATCAAATAATGGGGAAGGGTAAAGAACAAACCGGGCCATTAGAGAAAGAGGCAGAGGGATAAGAAAAGGAAGAGGAACGAAGGGGCCTGAGATAAATGAGGTCAGACAGAGAGGAAGAGACCGAGCACGAGCCCAGAAGAAATGGAGGGAGCGACCTAATGAAAGCAAGACAAATCTGGAGGAAATGGGAGACAGGAGGCGTGGGCTTTGAAGAGCAAAGCCGTCTGGGCATTTGCTGACAAATCCCTCTAAACGTCCGAGGCAACCGTGTCCTAAACTTTAAAGGGTTTGACGTCTGTTCCCGTCCTCGGGCCGACACTCAGCGGGTTTTACTGCCAGTTTCTGCACAGTCACCGGCACAAACGAGAGGAAAACAGATCGTTTGTTTTGGACCAGCGTCGTTAATAATTCAGGGTCCTACCGTTTGGCTCTCTCGGGATTTTTATTTTTATTTCGTTCCTGCTCAAAAATGAGTTTTTTACTGTCAAGACACGATAAAGTTGAAGGACACAAACGCAGAAAAAACAAACAGAGTCCGGTAATCGGCAAAAGCCAGATTTAGAGAGCCGATCTGAAGCATTAGCTATTAGCATTAGCTATTAGTAGCATTAGCTACCAGCGTTTTCACTATGAAGCAGATTTCTTTTTTGTTTGCAACAGGATATATGTTCTCAGTCTAATCGTTGGCCCCAAATGAGGTTATTTTTAGCAGCATCACAGTGTTTGGGACTGACTGATGTCCAAAGAGGACGAGCAGATGTCATCAGAGTCCAGAGCTCAGCCTGGTGGACCCTGTGGTCCATCAGAGTCCAGAGCTCAGCCTGGTGAATTCTGAGGTCCATCAGAGTCCAGGGCTCAGCCTGGTCAGAAAGCATTGGGAGACAAAACTCCCCATACCAGCAGAATCCTGAACTAAATGAGCTGTTGGGTCGTGGCCTTTGCCTGGTTTTTGTCCACTAAATAATGAAGCTAAGGCAAAGACCTGGACAGCCGCTCTGGCCGTCCAGCTCCAGGCTCCAGGCTCCAGGCTCCAGGCTCCAGGCTCCAGACTCCAGGCTCCAGGCTCCAGGCTCCAGGCTCCAGGCTCCAGGC